TGAGCAAGGCTTTAAGAGCTTTCAATTTTCCCATAAAAGCATATCCCGGCCAGCCTTCAGAAGGTAGGGAAGTCCACCAGGATTCAACCGTTTCCTTGAAAGTGGGGTGGTCTAACCACATATTTTCGAAACGAAAAGGCATCGGTCCCCATTTCTGGTTTCCTATCTTTAGGAGCAGGGGAAAGTGGTCTGACATCGTTCTTGGGAGCCTAATTAACTCCGCCTCTTTGAAAGCCTCCATCCAGCTATGAGAAAGGAAGAATCTGTCTATACGGGTGGCTACCGGTCTCTCCCTTACAGCGGACCAGGTAAATAAACCGTTCTTCATGGGGACATCAAACAAATCTAGCTCGTCTATCAACAGATTGAAATTTTTCATACTTCTAGTGGATCTTCCCCCATTCGATTTTTCCGTAACTCTTCGCACCACATTAAAGTCCCCTCCTAAACACCAATTCTCAGAACAAAGACCATTCAAATCCTGCAGTTCCTGCCAGAAGTCATCTCTACCTTTATAACTAGAAGGCCCGTAGACTCCTGTTATCCAGCCCAGAAAGTTATCTTTGTAGTTAACAAAAATAGAGACCGAGAACGAACCCATCACTGAGTCTTCTACTTGCACCGAGTCTTGGTTCCATAAGATGAGAATACCGCCGGCAGATCCAGCGGCTTCCAGCTCCACCCAACCTAAATGCCTGGAGCTCCAAATAGATTTCACTAAACATCTATCTATAGCCTGAAGCTTTGTTTCTTGCAAGATAGCCACATCCGGGTTTACTTTAACCAAGAGAGATTTAACAAGAGCTCTCTTGGAAGGAGCGCCAAGCCCCCTAACGTTCCAGGATAGGATTTTCATTTATAACCTGTCCGTCCCTCTCCTACGTCGTTCTCTTCTTCTTCTATTTCCTTTTCCATAGCGCGGAGCGTATTAGTAACTTCTCTAGCTTTTTTCTTTGTTGAGACACTCCCTTTTGTAGACAGAGGCCTAATACACATCTTACATTTCCACAAATTTCGAACCAGCTTTTTGGAAAAAGGAAAGTGCTCTGAATTTTCTTCCTCTTCCCCCGAGTCTTCCACCCCTAAATCTTGTTCTTGTTCTGAAGTTGGTTCTAAGCTCAATAAAGAAATGTACTCTTCGCCATCCATTTCCAGGGGCCTTTCTTTTGAAGGTGGATGAAATAGTCAAATGTGAGATGTCACTAATGAGGCTTGAACTTTTAATACTAGATTTCGGGATAACCCTTGGCTTGATAAGTTTATTCTTTAGTCAAACTTATCCTAGTCTCTTTTCTTTGTTCAGATTTAAGATTGGAGCATTTAGTGAGAATCAAGAATTTAATGTTTGGATCATAAATTTCTTGGCGTCTCTCCTTAATCGTTTCTGAAGGATTTGAATTGTACGTGCCTCTAAAAGGCAGTACATTATGTGACTTTCTTTTTTAAAGAGAGATATATTAACCAGACAAAACCAAGAGCGAAACAACCTAAGGGGACTGGGGCATGATGAGAGGACCCCTGTCCAACAGAACCCAATACATTAGCGCTTTCAAATCTTGGAGAATCAAAGATAAATTGTAATTACCGAAAAAAATCCTTGTGTTAAAGGCACCAAAGAGATGTCATAAGCTGTACACACCATCTGTGAACTTGTCTGTACTAGAATGAGTTCCTTCAGAAACTCACTTGTTTCATTCTCTCCACAAAATCCAAAAAAAGGCTCTAACAGTAACAGCACACCACCATGATGTCTTAGCTTTACCCTTTGAAAGCGACCCGTGCAACACTTCGTTGAGCCACCCATCCATCATCTTGGACATACAACATTTAAGATCAAAAGTTTTAAACAGAAACTCCCAGCCTATAGAGGTGAATTTACAGTGAAGGAATAAATGTTCCAAAGTTTCTTCATGTTGGAAGCAAAGACAACAAACCGATGGAGAAAGAGATCACCCACTAAATTTTTTCTGTAACCTTTCATTTGTGTTGAGACTTCTATAAGTGAGGCTCCGAAGAAAAACTTTTGCCTGTTTTTGGGATGTTAAACTGCCATATTGCTTTAATTAAAGGGGAAGCCATCTTCTAGTTTGAATTGGTAAGGTGGAGGAATGTTGATTTGGTGGACAAAACCCTGAAGTTTTCAAAGACCATGCTATCTTATCCAACCCTGTACCTGGCGCAATTTTCTCAATCAAACCCAACCAACTCCCCATCTCTATCCATGAAACCTCTCTTGAAAGCTAAATCCCCAATCTTGGTCATCTTAATTCCAGCATTCTGCAATGGTTCATTGAGATAAAAAAGATATCAGGGAGTAAAACTTCTAAAGTAGAAGTGCCAACCTAAATATCTTTACAAAAGCGAATCCTGTTACGATTTCTACTTTGAAAGCAAGAAACTTACAGAACCAGCCAGTGTTTTTAGCTATATTAAACCACGGCCCAGCCCACCATGAAGAAGGGGAAGAGAAGTCCATTCCCATTTAACCAAATGAGTGAATGACTACTCAAACAACTGCCCCTCCCTTCCAGAAGAAGTTACAGATGATCCTCTCTAAGGAAATGATGATTTTCTGAGGAGCTTTAAAGATCAATAATCAATAAATTGGCAAACGGTTGAGAATAGAGTGGATTAAAGCAAGTCATACACCTTTTGAAATCGGGAAATGTTCTCCATTTTTCCAACTTTGCTCTAAACCCGTCCACCAAGGGATTAAAAAAGGAAGCAACCCTGTGATTTCCTCCTAACGGGACGCCAAGATAAGTTATGTGGAGGTCTTCTGTGCGGACCCCTTCATATCGGCTTAGCTGTAGTGACTCATGAGAGGATTAGTTCCTATGATTTCATTCATAGGAGATTTGCCTCTTGTCCCTAGGATTTAGAGTACCTTATTTTACCTTGCTCCTTTCCTTTTGGTTATGGTGCTAATTCATTGATATGATTGGTTTGGGCTACATCTTTTTATCACATTGTTAAAGAGAAATATTTGGTTTCTATTCCTTTGTTGGGAAAGATAGACTGCTCCATCAAACTGGGATATTGGGGATGTTTTGTCTAAAGCTTCAAATGAGACTTTATATTTGAAACGCAGGAACAATCTAACTTTCAAAACTTGATTGAAGAATCAATCAGTAGAGGGACAACTTTGCTCCCACCCCAAGAAAAAAAAGAGCCAGCTCTCGCAATAATTGTATGGGAGTTGTCCTGGAGCAATGCTGTGTGGAGGTAGAAGGTCTATGGGTCGTGAACTTATTTTCATGGAGAAAAGTAATATTTTTGGAAAGAAATATTTTTTTGGATGAAGGACAAATCTAGAGCATTCTGTAAATTTATATTTCTTATTGGCTCTATCAAACTTTTAAGTTACATTTTTTTCTTTGGTTTAATCGTTGGGGACTTGCTGAGTTTTGTATAGCTTCGTTCTGATGGTTTTTTGAGTTTCTCTCTCTCTTGC